CATTTTGTTCCTGCATTATTTTCCTGAATTCTTCCGTTTTTTTGTCTGTATTTTCTGTGAATTTGTCTGCTTTTTCCATGAATTTGTCTATTTTTTTCCTCATTTTTGTCTGCTTTTTGTTCAACTCTTGCATAGCTCTGAATATTAGAGATTTGAATTCCCTATCAGGTAGTTCTAGTGCTTTTTCTTCTACTGGAAAGTCATCTGGTGTTTTATTTTGGATTTCTACTGCAACCATCCTGTCCTGTTTTTGTAAATGTTTTGATATTGTCCCCTGTCTTCGGGGCATTCGGTAGTTATTTTTTTCATTTATTGATTGTAGATTTGTTTGTTTTGTCCTGCTTTTTTGTTTTATTTGGCTATACCTGAGCAGGCGGGCTGCGTGTTCTTTGTTGTTTGCTAGTCTGTAGGCACGGTATTTTTTGCCTTCTCCATTTGGCAGGGTCAGTCACTCAGATATGGTACAACAGGGCAGGTCTAGCTGAAGAGTAGTTGCTGGGATGGATTGTTTGTTGCATGTACTCTGGCCGACAGGGTGGGCCAGTAATCAGTGCATGGTAGGTTCTAGTAGGCTGCGTTTGGGCTGCTTTGTGGTGTGATGTTCAGCGTATGGTGCAGGTAAGCAGGATGGAGGGGGGAGATTGTTATGTGTGGAGCTAAGATTGGTATGGGAGAGAGGAGAGATGAATAGGAGCCAAAAACATACAAATAAACAAAAAAGAGTGCTAGAGGAGCTTGCCTTTGGAGTGGAGAATTGAGAGACTGTGAAATGGAGAAAAACAAAAAGGAGAAGAAGAAAAAAATGAACAAGTAAAAATTAGAAAGAAAAAAGAGAAGCTCCCAGGGATCCCACTGGTGCGGCTGCGAGGTCTGGGGAAGTTGCTCCCAGGCCGTGAAGTACAGCCTGGCTAGAAGGGTTATAGGTGTCACTCAGCACCAGGTATTCATGGGGCAGGAAGAGAAGGATAGTATAGAGAGATGCGAAACTGAATAATGAAGAAGGACAAAAAGGGAAAAGGAAGGAAAAGAAAAGAAAACAAACAAAATAAGAACAAGAGACCCCCCCCAGAAAAAAAACAGAAAAAAAATAAAACAAGAAAAAACAAATGCCCTGAGGGATCTCTCTGTGCGTCTACACAAACTGAGGGGGTAGGTCCCAAGCCACACAGTACTGCCTGGCTAGAACAGGCTCCCAATTTGAGAAAAGAAAAAGAAAAACAAACGAACAATTCAAAACAAACAAACAAAAAAGCCCCGGGATCCCACCAGCATGGCAGCATGGGCCGGGAAGCAGTCTTACATTCGAGCAGCGTTTCACAGCCTTTCAAGAAGAAGCAGAGATGGCACCGGGAGCCAGGTATTTGAGAGAAAGGAGGAGAAGGTAGTGAGAGGTAAGGAAGAAATCTAAAGAAGTGGAAAAAAGCAACACCAGCAGCCAACAAATGGCAGTTAGGGAGCCGGCCAGTGCAGGTGGGTGGAATCGAAGCAGCACTGGGGTGAGGCTGGTGCTTCTTGGCCAAAAGACTGTGGCCGCAGGAAGCAGAGGAGGCCAAGTAGGGGTGAAGAAGGATAGGGGTGGGAAAACGTATATTGCTGGTTATTGGTTGTTCTGGCTCCTGCTGGAAACTCCGTGAAACTGCTTTCTCATACCCCCTGTTCCCTGGTCTCTGATAGAAGTCCAAGATGGCAGGTCCATGCTGTGTTAGCTAATGGGGACCTCTGCATGTCTCTCTCCTCGCTCTCTGTTCTCTGTCAGTTTTTTATTCCATTTGCTGCTTGGCTGAGTTCTTTATCTTTTCATTTGAAGCTTAGGGTTTCAGGATTGCCGTTTTCTCTGTTTGGCTTAATTTTTTGGATCTTTGCTGTGGAGGGACAATGTGATGCTTCTGCCTATAGTGCCATGTTGCCTGGAAGTCCAAGTTTTTATTATTTAAATACACCATACTAAGCAAATGTCTGAATAGATCACAAGTGAAATATTTTCTTTTTTTCTATTCAGCAAATTAGAAGTAGGGGGAAGTGTCTACCTAGTAGCTGCTTTGAGCCTGATTTTTTCCAATATTTTTTCTCTTTTTTTCTTTTTCTTTGTCATGGGAGTAGCAACATTAGGACAAAAAGGCTTGCATGCATACAGACACTGTATTCCTACAGAGATAAACAATAAAAGTGTTTGTGATAGAATATCACAAAAGCTACATCTCTTTATCTCATGTTCAGCTTTGATTGAAAGACATTTCCTTACAACACTTTAAATATACAAAGAGCAAATCAAATGTTGTTACAGTGAAACACAGAGTACAAACTCTGGCCAGTGCTCTGTGAATTGTTAATAAAGGTAGAAAGCAGATTTAAATGCTTCCTTTAATTAGCTTCATTAGTTATTTCTCTTGTCCCAAGCTCCCCCGCCCCCTCAAAAGATGTCCTCCGGTGGATCTTTTTTCATTTTCTTACAGTCTTCTGTAGGCCCAGGTTCATGGAGTCCTTAATGTTCATATTTAGTCATTTTAATACAACAATAAATGTGGGAAGGGCAGTCAAGACTAAAGAAGGTGCAGTGGCATGGATCTGGCATTGGTGCTAGCTACAAAGGTGACTTGTCTGTTGAAGACACTAGTGTGTTTTCTTTAAGGATCCAGATTCATTAGCTAGTGAAGTCTCATGAGGATGGAGAAGTCCTGGGCTGAGATATGGACACCTGCAATTGTCAAATCCTCCATACCTCCATTAGATGGTGTCTATGCACAAATACCTCAACGGTTTTAATCCCTTGTCAGCCTTTCTCTATGTGCCGCTTTGAGCCGTTTAGTTTTAATACTCCATGTTGTCACATAGTTTTTAACGATGGACTTCTGTCTATACTTGTAAACTGTGCACGTAGCCCTCAATTGTTTGATTCATTTTCATTTGACTAGGGTGGTGGAGAAAATAACCTCAAGAGTCATAGTCGCACTAATAGTGGTATTAGTTCAGCAAGTGGTGGAAGCACAGAGCCCACAACGCCTGATAGTGAAAGACCTGCTCAAGCTCTCCTAAGGGATTATGGTAAGCCACGTTTGTCTTTTTGAAATTCACAGTTTTACAGAAAAACTTCAATGTCCCGATTTAGAAAACAAACATGCAAACAAGCAAAAAATAAATAAAATAAAATAAAAATTTTAACGTTCATGTTTTTTTTGTATATAAGTATAATCGAGAATATGTTAGTCTAAAAGGTTACAAAGGAAAAAAGAAAGCAAATCTTTTCAATTTGGCTGCATAGCTTTTAGTAGTTAGATATTGGGTAGTTTATTAGGCTTTATAAATGATTGTAGTAGGTGGTCAGGAAACATTTCTTGATTCTGTACCAGTGCTAGTGATGCAGTGGATAAGATGTGGTCTCTGCCTCCGAGCTCACAGTCAAAGGGCAGAGATGGCCAGTAATCTGTTACTGCAGTGTGGTGGGGGGGTGACGGGGCATGTAATAGATGGGAACCCAGAGGAGAGTCTGTCTTCATGTTTAAAAACTATGTACTCCACCATATATTGTTAAACTCTTTAGTTGTAAATTTTAAGCAAGAGTAAGGAAACATTTTTATTTTCCATTCTGACAAATAAACTTGCCAGCAGAGCATCCTGTTCAGTGATGCTCTTTACCCTGGGCAATTACATTATGGGTTCTCTGAGTTTATGTGTACCCTTTTGCTTTTACACACAAATACTAATAGTATATTAATCTGTGAGTGTTAACCCAACTAAATTGGAATGAAATCTAGATCCTTAATGTGAGTTTAATTTTTTAATCATTTGGAGACTTCTGAGCCTAGAGTCTAAGGCATGTTTCTGTAGTTTAAGTTTGTAATAAGTGTCCTTGAGCATTTCAGATACATAAAGTCGTTATGTGGATATTCAGTACATATAAATATTGCCTTTATAAAGAAATTATTTAAATTGTTACCTTATTCATTATGTATGTGGATATAGGTGTACTGTAGGATGAATAAATTATGTTCATTTTTCATGCTTTCTAGAACATTTTTAAACTAAAGAAATTTTTGCATTTACTGCATGTGTTCTAATATAAATGTTTGAAGTGATTATTGTTTGTTTCAGCATTTTGAACTGTTGTGAGTTCTGCTTATATGTCGTAAAATATTTTTTTACTAAGAAATCCAGATTTGTGTTAGTGTCATAAAATATCTTTTACTAAGAAATCCAGACTTGTGTTAGTGTCGCATGAATGTCTCTCTTTAATGATCATTCCTTTTTCTGTTGTCACTGCCCTCTTTCTGATAGGATCGACAGGTATAATGTCCCTAAAGCGTCCTTTACACATTCAATTTAATTTATCCTAATTTATTATTAGCTAAGTAGGAATTACTTTTAAATATAGACTTGGAGGCCAAATAAAACCACAGTGGCTTGGTTTTTCTTTTTTTTTTTTAAAGTGTTACAGTAGTATTAGAAAGTTAAACTTTAAAATATGTTTGAAAAGGCCTTGCATGTGATTTTTGATGATTAAAACCATAAAGGTAATTCCAACAGATGCTCTAGGATAATTCCCAGAATCAGAGGAGGCTTTAAAATTTAAATTTTCTCCTGTACAAAATTCCAAGAAAGGAATTAACAGCCTTTTCATTGTTTTTTTAAAATGTAACTCTGAGTTGTTAATTTAGAAATCTAAGATTTACATTGTTGTAAGAATGGTACTGAAACTTCCAAATTCCAGTGGATATCTGTCTGCAAGTGCCTGACCTGGGAGCCAGAAGCTGCTCTGGTTCAGCCTGTGTGCCCTGTGCACTGTTTAGTCAGGCTTAGTGCTCAGGCCAGTGGGGCAGGGAGCATAGCACTGTGTGGGTGCTCGTCGTGCTCACTGTGGCTGCTGTGGTCTGTGCCTGGTGGAATGCTTTGCTTCTCGTTACTAATGCTTAGTTGTTTTCCCTCCCTGTGGGATGTGGCATTGGGGTTATATCCTAGCTCTTAACACAGATTCAGCTGCTGGGCTCCTGATTCGCAGCATTCACCTTGTCACTCAAAGACTCAACTCCCAGTGGCGACAGGACATGAGCATATCACTGGCAGCTCTGGAACTCCTCTCTGGTCTGGCAAAGGTGAGGAGGACGATCCTTTCATTTCAGCCCAGCAGCCTTGGGCCTTGGCTCTTTTTTTTGCACTTCCCAACCCCTTGGTGTGGGTATTGCAGTATTAGTCGTACTCAGATATAGTTTATAGCCAAATTGTACAAAATTGAGCATCCAAATGAAATTTTATTAAATGAACTTTATTTTTTTAAAATAAGTTCAAAGAGTACGTATGGTATTTTTGCTGTTAAATTGTAGAAAACATTTCAATACTTGCAATTTACTTATTTATACATAATAATAGAATACCTGTTGATTTTGTATTTGCTTACAATACTCAAATTTTCAGCATGACTTTTTCTGCCATTATAGGATCATTTAATTTTAATGTATGATATTAAAAAATATAAATATCAAAATACCAAAAATATCATAAATACAGATTTAGTAGGGGGAGCTCTTTTTGTAAAGAATGATTCCTAAAATATACCCTTTGAGATTATCTATGACTCTTCCATTATCAGTGATAAGTGAAAACTGGTTATACTGTCAAATTTCTTTCAAACCTATTATTTCAGCTTTGTGGAACCTTAGAGCTGAGTGGCCATTTGTGCCTCTCTGAATGTTTTCTGGTCTATAAAATGTGTAGGATTACCTTGCTTCTCACACCTGGTTTTTGTGAAGATCAAATGAGATAAAATATGTAAGACACTTTGTGAACAGGAACGTGATACATGTAAGGTGGTATCGTCTGAGGTAATAAAGCTTAAGCCCTTATTTTACAAACATGGAAACAGGTGATTAGAGGCTGTGACTTACCTAAGTCATAAGACAAAATAGGCAAGAAAATCCAAGATGTTCTCACCACCACTTAGAGCCAGCCTCAGAAATCCCAAAGAGAGATGTGATGGCCAGAGTTTTATGAGGAGCGGTTACTGGTCACAGAAAGTGAGAGCAGACATCTGTGAGATGTGCAGGACCGCACTGCCTTCGAAAGCAAGATAGACTATCTTTTTTTTTTTTTTTTTTTTTTGTATTGCATGAATTTGTTTTATATATTTATTTTTTTTTTATATATTTATTTTTTTTAAATTTTACATCAGGTGACGGTTTACAGAACAGATAGTTTCTCATGAAACAGTAGTACACATACTGTTTTATGACATTGCTTGACAACCCCACGACATGTCAACTCTCTCCCTTCTCGACCTTTTTTTTTTGGTGAAAATATACATAGCCAAAGATACACCATTTCAAAAATTTCTACATGCACAGTTCAGTGACATCGACTATGCTTTTCCAATTGTGCTGCTATTCTCACTTTAGATGAAGGTTGACAGAACAAAATAGTTTCTCATTAAACAGTTAGTACACATGTTGCCCTATGACAATGGTTAACAACCTCACAACACATCAACACTATCCTAACTTAACCTTGGGTTCCATATCACCAGCTTTCCTGTCCCCTTCTGCCTTCTAATCCTTGTCCCTGGACTGCTGTGCCTCATTAGTTCCATTTGGTTTTATGGGGCTGTCCATTCCCCGGCTGAACGGTGAACCTCGGAAGTGACTTTACCACTGAGCAAGACACAATATCTTGTGACCTTTGGTACATCCCTTTTTTTTTCAGGGATAGGGTTAGGAATCAGTGGCAATTATCCAGTGAGTTCTGCTCTGCTCTTCTTCCCCTCACTCCCCAAATAAATAAATAAAATTGCTGCTTAGGACATTCATGTTCCCTGCATGTTAAACCTTGTGATATCCCATCAGAGGAATTTGCCTAAACTTACGGGGAGAAGTAGTCCAGTTGCTGATAGTAGCTAGTCATTATTTTTACCTTCACATTTATTTAATTTCCTCCTCAAGTAAGCTTTATATATTTTAGGTTTTAACAATAACACCTATTAAAAAAAAAAAAAAAAAGAATAACACCTGTATAATGCTTACCATGTGCCAGACACTATCCTAAACACTTTAGTTAGACGTTAAATTATTTAATCCTCACAACAACATGAAGTATATATAACTATTATCCTTACTTCACAAATGACAAAATAGAGGACCAGAGAGGTTAAGTAGCTTGCCTGAAATGGCACAGTAAGTGAAAAAGTATCTTGGGTAAGGGATGACTTCTGCTTCTGCCTAAGATGGAATTACAGATCTACCTTCCTGCCCAAAACAACTACAACAACAACAAAAGCCAGAGAAAATAGACACGACCATGCTTTTCAAGACACTGGACATCAGATAATGAATAGTGATCCCTGAGAGAACTCTATGATTGCCCCCGTTAACTTCCTTGAGAGAGCTTCTAGGCTCTAGTGTAAAGAGGCGAAACCTAGGCAGAGCTCAGTGGACTCCTCAAGCTGATGAGATGGAAGTGAGAGTCTGGGGAGACCAAGATTGCTGGAGTTTGCAGAACAGAGTACCAAAGAGGAGAGAACTATACAGAGATAGAACCCCAGAGGTCTACAGAGGTTCCCCTTGAGTGTTCAGCAGAGTACTGATCAATGCCTGTGCGTAAGGAAAGTAAACATGGGGCCTGGGAGGGTGGGGGACAACACAGAGCTGGAAAAGTGCTTGTTCCCACTGTCCAGACTAGAAAAACTCATAATTCATGGGATAGTGGTAGAGTACCAGAGAAGGTCTGGCTTCAGTAGTAAGGAATAAACCTTAGATGTGAGTGCTCTGGACTCCCCAAAAGCGCTAATGCTATCTGATTTCAAGACTTATTATAAAGCAATAGTAATCAAATAAAGCTACAGTAATCAGGACAGTATGATATTGTTGTAAAGTTTGACCAATAGTTCAATGGAATAGGACAGAGAGTCCAGAGACAGAACCACACATATATGGGCATCTGATTTTTGACAAAGATACAAAGGCAATTCAGAGAGAGGAGAAAGGATAGTCTTTTCAACAGATGGTGCTGGGACAATTGGATATCTTATGGGGAAAAAAAAAAACTTTGATTCATATCTTGAACTGTATACAAAAATTAACTCAAAATAGATTATGGGTGTAAATGTAAAACCTAACACTATAAAACGTATAGAAGAAAACATAGGAGAAAATCTTTGCAACCTTAGGTTAGGCAAGAATTTCTTGGATTCTACACCATAGAAGAACAAACTGATAAATTAGATTTCACCAAAATTAAAAACCTCTGTTCAAAAATCACTGTAAAGAGAATGAGATGACAAGTCACAGACTAGGAAAAAGCCTTTGTAAAGCATGTATCTGATAAAGGACTTGTGTCTAGATTATATAAAGAACTCTCAAAACTCAATTATAAGAAAATAAGGAGCCCAATTAAAAATGGGCAAAAGACTTGAACACTTTACTAAAGAAGATTTATGGATAACAAATAAGCGTGTGAAAAAATGCTCAACATCATTATTGTTGTTAGGTGCTGTCGAGTTAGTTTTGACTCATAGTGACCCCATGTGACAGGGTGGAACTTCCTCATAGGATTTTCTAGGTTGTAATCTTTAATGGGAGCAGATCACCAGGTCTTTCTCCTGAAGAGCCACTGGGTGGGTTCCAACTGCCAACCTCTTGGCTAGCAGCCAAGCCCTTAACCATTGCACCACCAGAGCCCCATGTTATTATTCATTAGGGAAATAACAGTTAAAACCACAATGAGATAACCACTGCACACCTATTAGAATGGCTAAAATTAAAACCATGTCAAATGTTGGAGAAAGAACTGATCTCTCATGCACTGTTGGTGGGAATGTAAAGTGATACTACAGCTTGGCAGTTCCTTAAAAAGTTAAACATACAGCTACCTAATGTTATCTAGCTATTCCACTCCTAGGAGATGAGAGAGCATATGTCCATCCAAAATCTCATACATGAATGTTCATAGCAGCTTTATTTGTAATATCGAGAAGCTAGAAGCAATCCATATGTCCATCAGCAAGTGGATGGATAAACAAATTGTGGTATGTATATACAGTGGAGTACTACTCGGTAATAAAAAAGAATGACTAATTGATATACACAAATGTGGAATGAATCTCAAAATAATTGTGCTGAGTGAAAGAAACCAGACCAGAAAAGAGTACATACTATATGATTTCATTTATATAAAACTCTAGTAAATGCAAGCTAATCTATAGTGACAGAAAGAAGATCAGTGGTTGTTTGGAGAGAGGAATGAAGAGGAGTGGGAGGGAGAGATTATAAAAATGTACAAGGAGATTTTGGGGAATGACAGATATGTTCACTATCTTGACTGTGGTGATGGCTTCACAAATTGTACGCTTTAAATATGTGCAATTTATTGTACCTCTGAGCAGCTGCACAGAACTCTGTAGCCTATAGGACATCACTGTGGGATTGGGTTAGGGGGCATAAAAATGTGCACATGTTCAATTGCCAGCTATTCTTTCAACCTCTGGCAGTGATGAGTAGGCATATCCAAGAGGTTTAGGTTTCAGGGCAGGAAACTGCTAAAATGATACACTGTTTAGGGTTTGAAAAGTGCCACTATTTTTGTAGAATGTTACATAATAGTACATCTGAAGTCTTCTGTATCTGTATATAAACAATGTAAAAAAGTAAGGCTTTGAGAATGATGTATCACATTCTCAAACAGGCCAGGCCTCAGTGCATATGCTTTGAAATTGGCACGGTTGTTCCTGGCTAACTGTTTTTGTTCCCTAAATGAATATGCTCAGGTAAAGGTGATGGTTGACCCAGGAGACCGGAAGCGAGCCATCAGTTCCGTATGCAGCTACATTGTGTACCAGTGTAGTCGGCCAGCTCCTTTTCACTCCCGGGATCTGCACTCCATGATAGTGGCAGCTTTTCAGTGCCTCTGTGTCTGGCTGACAGAGCACCCTGATATGCTTGATGAAAAGGTGAGTTTACTAGATCTGAAAACATTAAGTGGAAACAAAAATGTATGAGGAAACTGTTTTTTAAGAGAATATCTAAATTTAAATACAACACTGCACATTTTTAACTGAATATACTTGTTAGATTTCAGTAGGACACTTGTCTTTTTGAGCACAACTTGAAAAAATGGTCAGTGTGCTTGTATTTGATTGCAAGGTAACACATAGAGAAGTTATTTGAAAGATGGGACCTTGACTAATTTATGTGACCTGTCAAGAATGTTCTTTCTTGAAAGGATGGCAGCCTTGAGATAGCTAGTAGGTACTTTGGCCACCCATCACCAAACCAAGAAGGGCAGTTGATATCCAGGCTGCAAAGGTGGAAGACAGCTTGCCCATAAAGGTTGCTTGTATCTAAAAGTTTCATTTCATGCCATTTCACATGCGTGTTTCCACTTTCAAGTGGGCACAGGTACATAATCTGCTCTCCTGCTGTTGTTCCTTATGATGCCTATACCTATAAGAAACACAGGTGGTTATAAAGAATTTGCAGTGTAAATAAAAAAAGAGATACCAGGCTCATTGGATATTTATAAAGACCTCTATGTAGTTTTTAAAATAGTACTGTTGATTAAGTATTAGTCATGTTCATTATGGTTTCTGAAGTTATGATGCCAGAAATGGCTTAAAAATGTCAGTAATTGATGAGCTTCCCTTGGGATAATCTAGCATGTCTTGAACCATCCCAGTTTTAACTGAATTACTGTTACATCTCTGTTACCCTGGGCTTTTATGATTTACAGTCTGGGTGATTTTTTTTTTTAACATTTTATTGTGCTTTAGGTGAAAATTTACATAGCAAATTAATTTCCCAATCAATGATTCTTACACAAATTGTTCTGTGACATTGGTTGCAATTCCTGCAGTGTGTTAGCACTTTCCCCATTTCCTCCCTCAGTTCCCTGTTTCCGTTTCTCCAGTTTCCCTATCCCTCCATGTCTTCTCATCTTTGGTTTTGGTTAAATGTTGCCATTTTGGACTAGTTTAGTCAGTTGTTCTGAGGAGCACATTCTTAACAGATATTTTTTGTGTTATAGCTCCAACTATTACTTGGCTGAAAGGTGGCTTCCGGGAGTGTCTATAGTTTCGAGATTGTCTTAGAACAATAGTCTTGGGTGTTCCCTACAGTCTCTTTCAGACCAGTATGGCTGGTCTTTTTTTTAATTTGAATTTTGTTCTACATTTTTTTACCCATTCTAACCAGGGCCTTCTGTTGAGATCCTGGTCAGAGTGGTTGGTAGTGGTAGCTGGGCAGCGTCTAGTTCTTCTGGTCTCAGGTTAGAGAAAGCGGTGGTTCATGTGGGCCATTAGCCCTTTGGGCTAATTGCTTCCTTGAGTCTTCAGTTTTCTTAGTTCTCCTTTGCTTCAGGCGGGAAGAGACCAGTAGTTGCTTCTTAGATGGCTGCTCATAAGCTTATAAGGCCCCAGACACTACTCACCAGGCTAGGATGTAGAACATTATCTTTATGAACAGTGTTTTGCCAGTTGACCTAGATGTCCCCTGAGACTATGGTTCTTAGGTTTCATGTCCAATAGTTCAGTCCCAATGCCTAAGTAGTTTTTATAACTGTGAGTCCAGGTAATTTTAAAAGAATTGTGACTGATAAAATTGAATTTGTCATCAGTTATTACCTAACTCTTTTTACACTCAACTTTAGTTCTTTAAAGAGAAGTATGTATATGTGTATAAAGTTTATTATATTATTGTGAAATTAATATATATCAAAGAAGACTAGAAAGAAACTGGAACACCACCACCACTACTGCCACAAAAACACAACCACTGTTAGCATTTTGATGTATTTTCTTGTCTTCTCGTAGGCAAATTTGTTACAAAAATTGATCTGCCTCTCCTGCTTTTAGGACTGCCTTAAGGAAGTACTGGAGATTGTGGAACTGGGTATCTCAGGAAGTAAGTCCAAGAATAGTGAGCAAGAGGTCAAGTACAAAGGAGATAAGGAGCCAAACCCTGCGTCTATGAGGGTAAAGGATGCTGCTGAAGCCACCCTAACATGGTATGAAAGTGTCCGCATAGGGATTGTGCCCAGGAATTAGATGGGGTTAGCTGTGATCCATGTTGTTTCATCTCCTTTCTGGTTGTTCGTTATTAAGTGGCTCAACTCCTTTAGGATACTTTTTTCCCAGATATAAAATGCAAAGGAAATACTCCTACCTGTTTTGTTTTTTTTCTTTTGGGGGGTGGGGGGTGGTGGTTGAGGATATAGTGGTGGACCAGTAAGAAACCCGGAACTTGGGACTGAGAGTTTGGGTCCTTGTTTTCTATGCTAGTTGACATTAAGTCAAGTCATAGTAGATCTGGAAAGAGTCTTGGAGAGCATTACTCCATCCCCTCACTTTGATGGCTGGGTCCAGAAAGGAAACCTGTTTGTGATCACACTCTACTAGGTCTCCTGCTTCCCAGTTCAGTGGTCTACTTTCTCTGCCGCATCACTTATATTACACATCATAAATTTATTCAGTCGCCCACTCGTGGCATTTCTATTACAGGAGCATTAGGTAGCTAAGACATATACCAAGTTGTTTAGCCTCTAATTTTGGGACACTTTAACGTGCAAGGTACCCCATTTCATTTTAATTGTTAGAAACCTCATATTTATGTTGTTGAAACCTCTCCCACTTTAACTTCTACCCATTGGTTCTAATTCAGACTTTTGGTAATGAAATTCTTTTTTCCAGGCAGCAGTGGTATCTGAAGGCAGTGTTCATGTTCTCTCTGATTCGTTTCTGCCAATACCTTCAGCTAATTTTCATATTACATGGATTCAAGTACTTTTTATCATCCTGGTCATTTTCCTCTTGATTGGTGTAGATTTTACTATGTACCTCTTAAAGGTCGTTTACTCAGTACAGTATTCTAGATGGTGTCTGATGACCTTTAAACTCTGTAGAATATTATACTTTCATTAAAGTGTTCTTGGAAACTGCATTGTGTTTTTGAGAACCTGGTGATTTGGCTTCAGTCAACTAAAATCCTTGAGTCTTTTTCATATGTTTACCTTTCATGTCTTTCTCATCTTGTACTTACTTGTTTTGGAGGTGTTGAATTTAATGCATAGAGCTTTACATTTAAACCTTAAATTTCATCATGTAAGACTTACACTTCATTATTTTTAGTTATTTAATAATCTTTTGGATCCCAACTGACATATTATCTGTGGAGCTAAACTTTTAGTCAACTGCAGATTTAATGTGCCTACTTTCTGAGTCCTAATCAAAGACACTGATAAAAACACTGAACAGGAGAGCCCAAGGGTAGACTCACAGAGCACATTACCAGTGATTTCCCTTCAAATTCACAGAGATTTTAAATGTTGTCCACAAGTTTACCGTGAGACACTGAAATGCTTGTATATCTTTTTTTTTTCTTAACTTTTGTGTTTTAGTTTTGATGTTTTATTATTCTTTCACCTAGCTATGGTCTGGATGAGAATACTGTTTATTCTTTTTTTTTTAATTTTATTGTACTTCAGGTGAAGGCTTACAGAACAAATAGTTTCTCATGAAACAGTAGTACACATGTTGTTTTATGGCATTGGTTAACAACCCCA